TTATCACCATATCAGAACTACACACCGACGCGCTAGCGGAGGAACAACAATTTTCGCATCAACTGAAATTTTTCACCGTAAACTTCACCTAAACACTGCATTAGAAGCTGTTGCTATAACAGCATGGTGTCCAGAACAAATCACAATATGTAGCTTATATATTCCTCCTAATTATACATTGACAAGCACTGAATTAGAAAACCTAATATCTCAAATTTCTGGCCCATTTATTATGGTTGGAGATTTTAATGCACACAACACTATGTGGGGATCCAAAAATACATATGGTAGAGGTAAAATAATCGAAAATGTCATTAACAATACTGATATTAACTTATTAAACACAGGAAATAGTACATACTTTCATGTTCAGTCAGGAAGCTTCTCATCAATAGACTTAAGCTTATGTGATCCCAAAATACACCCGTTACTAACCTGGCATACTCTAGATAGCTTATTTGATAGCAATCATTTTCCCATTATTATTACTAACAATGCAGTCAAATCGGAATATATAAAAACGAGATGGAAAATCTCAAATGCTAATTGGGAACTCTTCAAACTAACTGTAAAAGAACGCACAGATGTACTCAAATATCAAAATAACATAGACGAAGACATAAAACAACTAAACCATTGCATAGTTTCATCCGCAGAGGAGTGTATCGGCAAATACAAAATTAACCCAAAACAAAAACACGTTCCCTGGTGGAATGACTCATGCAAAACAGCAATACAAGAAAGCAAAAGAGCTTTAAACAGATTCCGAAAATCTCGCACTCTAGCTGACTTAATAGATTTCAAAAGGCTCAGAGCAAAAACAAAACGAATAATAAAAAACAGTAAACAAAATTCTTGGAATCATTTTACCAGCTCTATTACCAAAGATACCCCACCGACTCAAGTATGGTCAAAAATAAAGAGAATGAAAGGACATTACACATCATACAAAATTCCAGCTCTCACCATTCAGGACAAAATAATTACAGATGACCAACAAATCAGTGATATGCTTTCCCAACATTTTCTCAATAAATCAAATAATTCTACTAATCCACATAACGAAATTGATGCTACTCAAAAAACGTACAATACTAATCATCCCATTAATATACCTTTCAGTTTCCAAGAACTAAATGATGCCCTTTTTTCAACAAAAAGCTCAGCTGCAGGTCCTGACGATATTCCCTCTATCTTTTTAAAAAACCTTCACCAAAATACATACGAGAAAATACTCCAACTGTTCAACAAAATTTGGTCTTCTCAAAAATTCCCGTCACTATGGAAACAATCCCTAGTCATTCCTATCAAAAAAGGCGATCAATCCCTAGACACGCTGAACTCATACAGGCCAATCTCTCTCACCTGTACATTATGTAAACTTTTGGAAAAAATGGTTAATAAAAGATTACTTTGGTACCTCGAACAAAATAAAATCCTCGACCAATTTCAATCAGGCTTCAGACCAAATCGATGCACCTTGGACAATCTTGTACTTCTGCAATCAACAATTGCGACTGCGCTATCTAACAAAAATGAAGTCATTGCAATTTCCCTTGACATCGAAAGCGCTTTTGACTCTATACCGATTTCTGTGATACTAAACAAACTAAGCCAGAACAAGCTATCCGGTAATATATATTCGTTTATAAAAAATTTTCTCACAGACCGATCCTTTAAAGTAATTACTAATGGCAAAACTTCCTCCCAGCACACAACCACAAACGGTGTCCCACAAGGGTGTGTTCTAAGCAGCACACTATTTCTCCTTAGTATTAACGAATTTAGCTCATTTATAAACGACCCTGTGCAATACGGAATATATGCCGACGACATAGTATTATTTTGTCATGGAAAGGTCACTTCCAGCACAAATGCTTTACTACAAAATACGCTAAGTAAAATAAACAACTGGGCCAGTCAATCCGGCCTAAACTTTTCCTCATCTAAATCCAAAGTTATTCATTTTACTAGAAGACAAAACACGCAATCTCCAACTATTACTCTGAATGGAAATTTTCTCCAAGTAGTAGACCAAATAAAGCTTCTCGGCATTATTTTCGATAAAAAACTTTCCTGGAGACCACACATTCGAGAACTTAAGGGTAGCTGCCTACAAAGAATGAATCTCCTTAAATCACTAGCCCATTATAGTTGGGGAGCCGATGAGGAAACACTACTAAAAATATATCGAGCTCTTATTCGCTCCAAACTTGACTATGGTAGTGTTCTCTACATGTCATCAAGTAAATCACTACTACGTTCACTTAATGTCGTCCACAATACTTCCCTTCGACTTTGTTTAGGAGCATTCCGATCCAGTCCGGTGGAAAGTATTCATGTAGAATGTTTCGAACCTTCGCTTCATCTAAGACGACAACAACTTCTACTGCTCTATTTCGCTAGAGTTTCAGCAAATCTCACAAATCCCACAAGAAACCTCATCTGTAATAGACAATTACCAGCTACTAATAATCCTAGAATGGTACCGTCCACTATACAGATGCTACTTCCTTATTCAGATATCAATCTGTTGTCGACCAGCCCTTTCACGGTCCCTCAAACCCCTCCATGGATATGTAAACTTCCAAATTTTAATATCGAATTATCCAAATATAATAAGAATGAAATATCACCTTCCATTATCAAACAAAGATTCTATGAAATAATACATCAATGCAACTTCGATAAGATCCTTTACTCAGACGCATCTAAGACTGAAGAAGGTGTTGGTTGTGCTGTTACAACGACTACAACCACCGTCAGCTTGTTTCGACTCTCCAGCAATTGCAGTATTTATACTGCTGAACTATATGGAATACTACAGGCGGTGAAATCTCCACTCAATGATGTAAAAACTGTAGCAATCTGTACAGACTCTCTGTCCTCCATGCAGTCCATAAGAAACGTACATTCTATCCACCCAATAGTTCAAGAAATCCAGAGCATATGTAATCGTCTTCAAACTAATGGAGTAGCAGTAACGATATTGTGGGTCCCATCACACGTTGGTATTCCAGGTAACGAAAAAGCCGATCAAGCAGCAAAACAAGCATGTTCTCTTAACGTTACAACAGATATTCAAACATCATTAGATCTAAAAAGAACAATCAAACATAAAATAATGGACCTTTGGAATGATCAATGGAAAAAAAGCAATACCAAGTTAAGCGTTCTACAACCAAACATTTTCTACCACAAGCTCTCATCAATGAAAAGAAAGGACAAATCAATCATTCGAAGATTGAGAATAGGACACACACGCCTTACACATGGACACCTAATGAATTCCAGTAATCCGATTTTGTGCCAGTATTGCAACACCACGACTTCCGTAGCACATGTACTTCTTGACTGTCAACACTACCTAGCGGCCAGAAGAAAATTTAATCTTGGTAACAACCTAAAAGACATTCTTACTTCAAACGACAGTAACTACGAAAATATATTAAACTTTTTAAAAAACACAAAGTTATACAATTTAATTTAAAACAAAATGTATTAAAAAAGTGTATTGTAACTAATTTGTACTACATGTAAAATATTAACCATGTAAATATAAATGTAAATTGTACCTGTGTCAATGACCATTAGCTGTCGAGACACATATGTTCGAAATAAAAAAAAAAAAAAAAAAAAAATTCTTCTCAAGACCTCGACATTTGTGACTCTCTCGGTCCATGATATTCTCAGGATTCTGCGATACATCCACAGTTCAAATGCCTCTAATTTTTTGGTATCAATCTTTTTTAGCGTACATGACTCCATTCCGTAGATCAGCACAGAAAGTACGTAACATCTCATCAGGCGAAGTTTCATTTAAAGGCTCAAATCTCTTCCGCAGAACACTCTCTTCATTTTAGTGAATATGGATCTGGCTTTTTCTAATCTTATTTTGATTTCTGCTGAGCTATCGTTATCTTTATTTATAAAAATGCCTAAATATTTGTATTTGCTAACTCGATTGATAATTTCATTGTGTAAGTATAAATTTTGGACATTTTGTTTTGATTTCGATATTACCATAAATTTAATTTTTTTTTCAAGTTTAAAGATAGTCCATATTGTTCGCTGCAGTCTGCTATCCTATTCACCAATGTCTGTAGCTCTTCAAGTGTTTCTGCAATCAGAACGGTGTCGTCGGCAAATTTCAGATTGTTTAATCTAACACCATTTATTTTACCTAATACCTACGAATTGCTCAGAGAGTGTTATATTTATTACTTCTTCGGAATAGAGATTAAACATGGTTGGTGACAGTATACACCCTTGTCTCACACCTTGCTTTATTTAAATTTGTTCAGTGGTATTATTCTTTACTCTTACTACTGCTTTCTGATTGTAGTACATATTTGCTATTAGTCGGATGTCTCGTTTATCTAAATTCTTTTCTGTCAGGAGTCTGATTAGGTGATCACGCCGCACTTTATCAAAGGCCTTGATCTTGAATTATGTCAAGACATCTTTGAGACATAACGTTCAGTGCAAACAACGCCTCTCTTGTTCCGAGTCCATTTCGGAATTCAAACTGGGTATTATTGATGTCCATTTCCAGTTTTCTGTGTACTCTAGAGTGTATAATTTTCAGGAATATTTTCAGTACATGGCTCATCAGACTGATTGTACGGTAATCACTACATTGTTTGGCATTCATCTTTTTTGGTAAAATAACAAAGGTGGATACCATCAGGAAACAACCAATACTTCAAGGTTTAGTAGCGAATCTAGCCCGTGTTTTAAAATCTTCAAGGAAGTCCTTTAATTTCGAAAGCTCCTTCATTGTTCTTGATCATAACGAGATAGTTTTGGGTTATCAAAGATTTTTTGTAGTTATCATTTCCGCCGTATACAATTTTAGTTTTAGTTTAAAAATATCATGTACTTAAAATGTTGAAAATTGTACTTTTAATGTGGTACTTATAAAATTTTATCAATAAAAAATGTTCGACACTTTAGATTTAATCTATGTATAAATATCTTAAACACAAACATATTATTTTGTATCTTGCCACCATACAATATGATCGCATTCATACTTTTAAGTTTATTTCTACAAATTTTAGGTGAGTATTAAATAAAATTACTGATAAATAAAATGCTAACTTTGATATTTTTGAATAGTTTATCACAACTTTAATAGAATTGTAAAACAAAAAATTCTATTTTGTTATTTGTTTTGCTTTTCTTTATATAAGTAATTATTTGCTAGTTTGTTTTTTAATATTATCGAATATTTAGCATCTTCTCCAACCTTGGGTCGAGACGCTGATCAAAATGAGTATCCATTTATCGTAGGAGTGGAATCATGCGATTTTCCAGTTTGTTATCCACAATGTGCTGGTGTGGTTCTTTCCAAGAATTGGATTCTCACACTTGGTGGCTGTGCTTATGGTGCGATTACCTACAATAATTTCAGGGTAAGTTATAAAAATAGCAGAGATATCAAAGAAATAAGGTCAGCGTTATAGCGTGGTAGAAATAGAGATAACAAATATCTTTTAGACCTAATCTAGTTTTCTTTACGCAAGTTTTTCTGCAATTATTATTTTAGCTGTACTTGTTTGGTTTTTATTATACCATTGGTATATAATAGGAATGCAAAATCTCTTTGTATACCAGAGAAATTTCATAACATCGTGAGAAAAATAAAAAGAATAGGTGTCAACATTCTCGGAGTCAGTGAAGTTAGGTGGATTGGATCTGGAGAGTCAAACATAGATAACAATTATATATTATGCTGGCAATGACGATCCTCATCATTACTCATAAATGTGTAATTACACATAAATGTGTAAAGAACTTTATACCTATATCTGATAGAGTAGCTATGCTACAAATTAAAACTCCTCGAAATTAACTCTATTCAAGTATATGCTCCTACAGGAGAAAAATCAGATTGAGAAGAAGGAGAATTCTACCACGAGATCAAATACCTAATGAAGATCGCAAAAAAAAATGCTGTAAACATTATTATGGCAGATTTTATTGCCAAAGTAGGTGACCGAAGTCGGAAACTTTGGTTTGGGCTAAAGAAATGATAGAGGAGAAATATTGGTCCAATTTTGCCAAAAAGAAAATCTAACGATCGCCAATACCTGGTTAAAACTACTAAAAAGAAGATTATATCCATAAAAAGCACCTGGGGATAATCAAAACCACATAATAAGAAACCAAATTGATTTTATATTAATTGACAAGCGTTATAGAAATGGAATCAGGCCAAATAAAACATAATCCGGGACGGACATCGGTTCCGACCAGAATCCTGTTATCGGTAATATCTTAATTAAACCGAAGAAAATCAAATGCAGAGAGAAGATAAAACCTAAGCCTCTAAAAACTTAAAGAACCTGCAGTAAAGACAGAGATAGAGAAAATACTCTCAAAGAAAAATTCAGTAATGCACCTGCAGCAGCAGAAAAATCAGTAAAAAGTATTTGGCATACTTTAAAACAACAAACACAACTATACAAACAGAACAACCATAAGAAAAGACAAGAAAAACAAAGAATAAATCATAGATTTATTAACAGGATATATTAACATCGGAAGTTACAAAAACAATCAATACAGCAAAGCCACGAAAGGCCTCAGGTCCAGATGAAATATATATAAAGATGATAAAACTTATCAATGAAGACAATTTTTAGTCCTTAACACTACTATTTAACAAAATTTTTACTACTGGAATCTTCCCAGAAGACTGGCTTAGATCGACATTTATACCTATACCTATGAAAAGTAAAGCAAATGGATGCTTACAGTTCAGATTAATAAGCACAAGGATCCATTTTCTGAAAATTTTACTCAAAATTGAACATCAACGTATAAACAGAGAATTTGGATTTCCTATGGGGCTTGGTACGAGAGAGGCATTATTTGGCATTCAGATATTACAAAAATGCCGAGATCAACGAAATAACGTGTTTGTCTTTTTTATCGACTACCAAAAAGCGTTTGATTAAGTAAAACACACAAAACTTATAGAAACCCTAACACAACATGGTATAGACCATAACACGGTGGTCCTTATTAAAAATCTATATTGGAATCAAATGGCGTCGATTAAAATTGACAATCGTATGACAGAAAAAATGTCAATAAAAAGGAGATTTTGTCAGGGCTATTTAATTTCTCCACTATTGTTTAATATATATTCCGAAAAGATCTTCCAAAACGCCCTTGAACATATTAAAGAAGAAATAAAAATTCACGGTGAATATGTAAACATTCGAAGGATGCTAAAGATCTCTTGGACAGAGCACGTAACCCACAACGAGGTGCTGAGAATAATGGGGACTGAGAGGGAACTTCTAAATATTGTAAAAAAATAGAAAACCGAGTTATCTGGGACATATTTACAGAGTAGAAAAGTACATCTTTCTACGACTGATAATGGAACGGAAAGTGAAAGAAAGAAGAGGTCCAAGAAGAAGAAAATGCTCGTGGCTGCTGCTAGCTGAAAAATATAAGAGACTGGACATGCATGGATACGCACCTTAAGAGAAGATAGGTATATGTTAAATTTTTATGCAGCTGTTTTTCTATAACAGTTGCTCTGATTAGATGTTTACTTAATAGGTATCACAACAGTATCTATTTTTTAATACCACTGTTAGCCCATTTGTTGCATCTATTATGAAACTCATCATTGATCTTTTTTATTTTCTCTAAATTTTTTTTGTGGATGTAAGATCGTCGGTTCCATAATTGGTATAATAATATTATTTGTCTTAAGGCGCTGTTGAACTTAGGCTGCCCTTTTTTACTCGCACTGTCTTTCTATTCATTGTTTTATATTCTATTTAGCATATGGTCGTGGTCTGTAAGAGTACTCTAGTAATATTTTTCATTTTTAATAATTATTCTTTATGAGTTTTTACATAACTCATCAAGCGACGTTTTCATCTCATTCTGTACTGTCAATCTCCACCTTGCAATAATCTTGTTTTCACGCCTTCCTCCGTTTTTTTTCGCTGCTTCATTGCTCTACCTTTTTTTGATCTTCATGTATACTATTCTGTCTTTATACAGTGGCTCTATCACGACTACAAAATTAATTATTTTTAATCCAACTTGTATTTTGTTGATGATTTTCAAGTTTTGTAACCGTAGGTTTCTGTGCTTTTTGTCATAGTGTTTCATTTTCATATTATGCTTTGTTTTTTTCTTTAATGATTATGTCCAATACCATGCTATAGATTAAGTTTTATTATGATTAAAATAAGGCTTATATTTTTTTAGGGGTTTGTAAACGGAAAAAAATGGTTATAAAGAAACAAACACAATTTAAAATTTTGTTTTAAATAAAGAAAAAGTTATTAACTACTTCATCTATTTCTACAGGTTGATCAACTGCTTAATATTCTCAATACTGACCTAGGGATGTGAATCTTGGACTCTGAGACAATCGGAGAGAAGAAAGATAGACGCCACTGAAATGTTCTGTTGGAAACGAATGTAACGAATTCCTTGGACCGACCGTAGAACAAATAATTCAATTTTAAGAGAGCTAAAAGTTAGCCAACGACTCTCTAGTAAAGTCCATCTCCAACAATTAAAATATTTTGGGCATGTTATGAGAGCAAACACAGAAAACATGGAAAGACTCATAATACAAGAAAAGGTAGAAGGCCGAAGATCACGAGGAAGATCCCCAACAAGATGGATAGATCAAATTACAGGAATATGCCAAAGACCTATGCATGAGTTAAAAGAAATGACCAGAAACAGAGATCTCTGGAGACGGACAATACACGACATTACGTCGACCACTACACTCCCTCTGGGGGGTCAGGATTGAAGAGAGAGAACTACTTCATGTAATGATTAATGATAATAAGAGTTGTATTGTATGTATACATGGCAGCATATGTGTTAAATTTATTGTCCAGTACCACTGAAATACCAATAAATAAGTACTTTTTCAAATATATCTTTGTATATTTACAGATCAATGCAGGAGTTGTCAATCTCACCAGTCCAGACGCACAAGTTCGAGATATTGAGAAAGCTGTACTACATCCAGAATTCGACTATTTTCAGTAAGTTAAACTATAGACTTCTATACAAAAAAAAAAGTTTAATTGAGTTTGGATTTTCTTCATAGAATCGTTTTTATGTTTGTGATTTTTATGATTACTGTCCATATGATACAATGCAATATCACCAACACTAAACATTCACATCAGTGTTGGTCTGATTTTATCATTTTTCTAAATCACATCCTTTTCAACCGGGCCATGTAGAGAGAATACCACATGACAGGATTCCGAAAGAGATTTTGACGTGGACACCACAATGGAGAAGGAAAAGAGGAAGGCCGAGAAAAATCTGGAGAAAGGGAATTAAAAAAAAACTAGAGGAAAGAGAAATCACTCCAGGCCTACGGTTAGATAAAGAAGAATGGCGGTTAGGAGTCGCAAGGCGTCGAAGAACGCTGTAAACCGATACTAGTAGTTAAATCTTGTAACACTTAATATTTCTAGCATAACTTATCCTCTATTTCTTTTGCTAGCAGTTATTTTTACAATATTTGTTTCCTTTTATATACTCTCATCGTTGGAACAAAACCACTTGTTTACTAGACAACGTACAACTCACTAATCAAATCATTGCCACAGTATAAACGTGCATTTATACTAAACCTGATATAACACTCATTTGGCAGTAATATTTTTCTTGATATCCTTTTCAAGTATTATTTTTCTCCAATGAGGGATAATGAAGCTTACTTAATAATGGAACAAAATCATATTCAGTTTTTACTTTTGGCATTGTTGCGTTTTTTTTATTTATTATTTAGATTCTAAAGGAATATTTCTTTTTAGACCCTTTTCCCCAAACAACATCGGTCTACTGAAACTAAAAACACCTCTAGATTTAGGAGACTCGGTTCAACCAGGAGTACTGCCAAAGCAAGGATCAGATGTACCACTCGGCAAAGTAACGCAACTAGGATGGTTTGTTAATAAAGAGAGTCACGGTAGACCAGTCAGTGTAGAAAACTTGGAGACAGCAGAAACGGGTATGATTGACTATGATGGTAAGTATGCTTAGAAAGTCCGTCCAAAATATTTTGAAAATAATAAATTATTTATTTATGACATTTACTGCTTTTACAACTTTCATGAACAACGGTGTGATCTTCAGACATCAGTTGAAGATCAAGTGCATATGCTTGCTGTAAGAAAAATCTTGTTAACTGCAGTTGCCCATCAACATCATTTTTTATAGCCCTTTTTCTATCCATATTGTCGATTAATGGCCTCTCCCATTTCTCGCCATTCATTCTTGTTGTGTGCTAGGCGTTTCTACATTGGTTCTGCGACTCTTTTGATATCGTAGCTCCAGACCATTTGAGGTCTTCCTCTTGGTCCCTTCGCATCGTACGGTCGCCAGTTTCCGACTTCTTTGTTCCATCTACCATCTTCGAGACGTTCGTTGTGTCCAGCCCATTTCCATTTTAGTTTAGCTGCTTGTTTCGCGGCGTCCTTTATTTTTGTTTTGTTCCGGATTGCTTCGTTCGTTTGCCGATCTATTAGTGAGATACCAAGCATCTGTCGTTCCATGGCTCGCTGAGTTTTTCGATCTTGTCCATGTTTTTTTTTGTGAATGTCCAGGTTTGAGCTCCGTAAGTGAGAACGGGAAGGATACAAGAATCAAACTTTGGTACTTTGGTTCGAAGGTTTTGGGGTATCTTTTTGTCTTTCAGTATGTATACGAGTTTTCCAAATGCGGCCCATCCCATTCTTACTCGTCTGATTATTTTGGTAGTTTGGTTTTCTTTGTTTACCTTGATATTCTGACCCAGATATATGTATTCTTCTACATGTTCCACTTTTGTTCCTTGGATGGTTATCGTCGGTTGATCATCTTTATTCGACATTAGCTTAGTTTTACTCAGATTCGTTTTCAGTCCTTTTTTTATGGATTCCGTATGAAGCTCATCGATCATCGTCTTCAGTTCTTTCCAGCTGTCGGCTATTAGTACTACGTCATCTGCATATCTTTGATGGTTTAATTACTTTCCGTTTATCGATACGGTAAACAAAATCATTTATTAACACGAATATGTATTTATTTCTCAGATTACTCAGATTTTCTCAGATTTAAAAATATTTATTTTGAAATAATGACCTAAACAACTCTTAAATTAATTATAGTTTTTCTTTCTTTCAGTGTGTATGGCCGTAGTGGAACCATCGATGGAATACAATTTTCCTGACTTTGCCCAAACATTGTTTTGCACTGCTGATTTTACTGGACGTGAAGATTTATGTTTTGTTAATGCCGGATCCCCAACCATCCAAGATGGAGTCGTAGTAGGTTTTCACTATTTTACAACATTAGGTTGTGGAGTGATGGGGTCAGCTATGTTAAGTCTGAAGACCGGACCTTATGTATCGTGGATTCAGGAAAATATTGATGATAATATAAGACTAGCCTAAAATGTATTCTCTATTTTTATTAAAATGTAATAAATATATTTTCCTGCTTTCAATAAACATAACTATTATAAGACCAGGCGTCAGCTTTTTTATTTTTATACATCCTAACAAATCCCCCCAAACAACCAGTGAGATTAGGGTTTCTGGTTTATGGTAAGTCACAAACATTAGAAGAGTAGAAAGGCGGCCTTTAAGTAAAATTTGATCAAAATCAAAAACCTTAAAATTTAGTATCAGGAATGCAGTAAAGAAAAAATCTAGACCCTGACTAGTCTAACTTTAGAGTGGAATAGGAAAATGATTCATCCACTGTTTACAGAATACCTCAAAAGTCAACAATTTTACAAATGCTGCATAAAGGGACTAGAAAATTAGATACTCCAAACATCTGAAAATTACATAGTTTGTAAAATTTAATCTTAGATACATCTGAAAATTAGATTTGCAAACAGCAAGAAAGATACTTTGACATCTTAAAAAAATATGTTATCAATTAAGTACCAGAAGAACAGAATATACCGCACACCTAGTTCAATAGTGCCACAAGTCCAAAATACAATAATTTCGAGAAATGAGCAAAACGTTCTGTAGCAAACGAGTTATGCCCTGTAAATAATTTATTTTTAGAATCACTGGCTTCAAAATTACAATTTAGTTAGAAAATTATACAGTTATTCGCTGGATCTTGTTACAATTTATTAAAAATAAAACGTTAATTGTATTTTGATAGTTATGGCGATATTGCATTGTGAAGAAAGTCATTTATAAAACGTTAAATAGGAGATACGGCGGCAACATAATAAAATAAATCAACTAGTTTTTACAAAAAATATTTTTATTATTATTATTACAAGTGTGTATGAACATTTTTTTCAATTACTATTAACCAAGTCCTTATAAAAATTGTGATGAACAGTTAATATTAAGTTTTTATTGCACAGTTCCAAAAGGTGTTGCTTGGTTTTTGCGGATATCGATGGAGGCTTTATGTACGCCTTTTTTAAATCGATTACTGCTTCCACAGTTGCTGAACGCCCCCTTGTGGATGCTTTAAAATGGACCTCTTCGAACTCATCGGCATTATAATCTGTTTTATAGAAGAAAGATCCAGGATTGCTTTTGACAACTTTAATAACTTGGATATCATTCCAAACTACCTTTTCATCTTTTGTATTCTTTGTAAAATTTCCTCCAATTTTTGAATTGAGATCTTTAAAGTCATAAAAGTCTTCTGTTGACATTTCTTTTACATTGTAAGGATTTCCTTTTTTTTGCAGATCTTATGATGACAGGCCATTGTGCAGGAACATAAATGATACCTGTTTTAAGTATTTTCTTCTTTTGCCTCTCAATAGTTGCGTGCATGGCGTCCCCTTCATTTTGGGTATGTCCCACTGTTAAAAATTTATGTATGATTGATTTAACATTAATTTTTCCAATTGCATAGAGATACATGGTAACTATAAATTTATTTTTATTTTGCCCAACACATTTGTCGCTATAAAATATAACGTCTTTATCATTACAATGATTTGAAAGATAATCAAACAGACATGTAGCTATTTCGTTTGAGCCGCGGTTAGCAATAGCCTCGTGCCAAAAGTAACAGTAACCAGTCTTTTGCAATATCTGAAAAATTGTAAAGTTGAAGCAGTTCAGGCGGCATTTATAGTAGAAGCTTGAAACGTCTCCACAAGGTGCAGGAAGGATCGCCTGCAAATCAAAACAAGCTACCAATACTTGAGAATCATCTTTTGCTCTTGCTAGATCTTGTGCTTTTTCGTCTCTGCTTCTAATTTTATTATGGATATGTTTATTATAAGTTTGATAAAGAGTAGCTTGCTGTTCAGCAGAAGAATTTTTATATGATTCACAAATTGCGCACTGATCTTTTTTTGGCTGAAACAAAGTTATGTTAAACTCAGTTTTGAAAATATGCTCGTAAGTGCATTTTTTAGCCACAGGCCTTCCTTCGCTCTCTTCCTGTAGTTTGTAGTAGCGAGACATTTGAGCTAAAGTAAGTGAACCATCTATGTATTCCTTTGTAGTTTGTGCTCTAAGATAATGTGATTCTACCCTTTGGAAAGTATTTATGTGTTCTCTTATTTTATTTTTCACCGGTCCAGTAACCGTTTCTCGTTTCATAAAATTTCCTCTCTTATCCTTGTCCACAGATCCTTTACCATCTGATTTTCTCCAAGTTGTTCCAATAAATTTGTCACCAATGTCCAAGGTATTCATGAAAAACTTTTTGCAGACTTTAACTTTTACTCCGTGTATTGTTAAAAAATACGCTAAATTCATACCGTGGTTACTGCCTTCAACCGTTTTTCTGTATTTAGTAACCAACTTTTCTAAATGGGAAGCAACAAATTGTCTTTGAAGAGCGTTGTCTTTCAAATTTCAGAAACGTGATTGTATATCATATCTATCAGCATTGCTCAATTTTTGGCTGCATTTTGTAGGACATTTTTCTCCACATGCAGGTTTTAAAGTCTTTCCACGTTTTTCTTTGTTGCCTTCTGTAATAAAAGATAGATAAGAGTTAACTCGCAGTTTCTGAATATTTCGTTTCCAGTCACTTGGTTGTGGTAAAACCTCACTGTGATTTTTCTTGAAATACAAACCTCCGTCAACACAAAGGAGATGTCATTCATAACATCAGAAACCTCTGAATTGTCACTCAGATTCTCATCATCTTTAAGATAGCTTTGCAAAGCTAGTCCAAGCATTTTTCTTGCCCTTGACATCGTGTTTGATAATAAAGTTAATAATAATATCACTATACATTATTTTCAGACTTTAAATCAAATAGTTGTACACTATACACGTGGATACCTCGTGAATAAATAATTGAGAACTGGTAAAATCGTACCAATAATCTAACAATTCTTGCAGTTGTGGCCGTATTGAATTACATCGGTTGTATTGTGGCGGAGTGTATTATCGCCACATCTTCTAGCTATGGCCATATTGCATTTCAAAACCCTACAGTGTAATACCGAAATATCTTACTTTATACTTATCCAAGACAATATTAGAGCCTTAACTCAAAATTGGAATTTTTGGAGTTGTGGCAGTATTGAACTAGATGTACGATACGTTTATGAGAACCAGGAAGATATTCTTTTCCAGTATTTTTTTTAATTTGTGATCAGTAGGACAAAATATCAAATGCTTTCTGCGTAAATTCTGGACTGAGATAGGGAGATCTGTTGTCCCCATTGTTGTTTAACCTGGCCTTAGAATATGTGATGCGAAAAGTAAATCCAAAAATCAAACCAGACATAACTGCACTCGTCTTTGCTGATGATGTAGACGCAGTAGCACAATCAACATTAGAAATTAAGGATATTTTCTCGAGCTTTGAAGAAGCTTCATTAAACATCAGTCTAAAAATAAATGAAGACAAAACAAAATACATGGTCGTCTTAAAACAAAAATGATGGCGAATAATGCATAAAAATGATCACAACTTCGAAGTGGTTAAAGAATTTAAATATCTAGGAGCAATAATCACAAATAACAACATATTAGAGCGAGAAGTTGAAACGAGAATAATGGCAGGAAACAGATCTTTCTTTGCAGTGCAACATCTAATGCGACCAGCATGCGATATAATACGACCAGCAGTCGCGTATAAAAGCGAAACATGGACGCTAACAAAAAGAAGTAAATAAATTGCTGGTGTGTGAACGTAAAATTTTTCGAATGATATACGGCCTTTGCAGAGATAGCGTGACAAACGAATAAAGGGGCAGATACAATAACGACCTAGAGTCTCTATTCGGAAAAGAAATTCTAGTCAGATATATAAAGGTCAATAGACTTAGATGGGCAGGACATGTGATACGCAGTAACGACAGTCGCCTTATAAACAATGTGTTTTGGGAAAGGCCAGATGGAAGAAGGTCTGTAGGGCGGCCTAGAAACAGATCGAAAGATGAAGTTAACGAAGATCTATAGAAAATGGGAGTGCGACAATGAGAATTACTGGCACAGGACCGACAAACATGGAAGGCAATAGTAAACGCGACTCACGAAGAGGTAGTGCCATTGATGATGATGATGATGATCAATGACTGACCAATGATGACTGATGATCAGTAGGACCAGAAAAACGAGTAATCAATAAAAAAAAATAAAGGACTTAAAGTTCTTTCAGAGAAAGAACCATGAGAGCAGAAAATCTTGGGGAGGAGGGTCATCACCCCCATGACCCTCCACCCCTTGGATCCGCCACTGGTCAAAACGTCAAAATATCGCTGTTTTCATCCAAAATTATGGTTAGTTCGCACTAAAGACAGTAAATAATATTAAAATGTTACGAGAATAGCTTCAGAATAAAAAAAGATTGAATAAAATTCAAAAACAAGTGTGTCTTTGAAAGATTAATAGAAGAATTGAAACAAATAAATAGATAAATAAAGACACAAAAACGTACCAAAATGTACTGGTATTAAAATCAAGTTAAGCTTCCATACATCACGTAAACACTCAACAATTGATGGGTGTAATAAAAAGGAAAAATAATTTTTTTATTTTTGTCTCACATCTCTCTATTTTCAATTTCGATTTCAGCGATAAATCGATAAGGAATGTAGCAGTCTTTCCAATTAATTTTAATTATAACCCTTTGTAGGGATAACGGCACGTTTTACCATATATCAGATTACTGCCATAGCTGTTTAAAGAGCCCTGGGCTAGTGTAAATTTCCCTTTGTCAAAGTGAATATATATAATGAATTTGATATTATGATTTCGTTATATTTTGGGATCTTTTCAATTTTTCTTAGTTAGAGTTTACCAATATAAATAATTTTTTTAACTTAAAATGTTGGAGCTATACTATAATAGGAGATAGTTGGAGATAGTTTAGTTTTTTCACTCAATCTTCTAGTCGTAGTTATATTTCTTTAAAACAAATTTCGCGAAGATTTGTTTACAACTGCTTGTTATTGCAGAAAATATCGATTACCTAAGATAAAACTATTGGATATGAATAATTCAGTTTTTTGTGCTTGCTTTTATATTAGTTTATTGCACGATTTCTGCTGGAAAATTATATATCACAT